GGGTTTCGTGTTTGACGGAAGCGGCTGAGTTCCAAATGCCGTATCAACTACGCCAGCTCTTCGTCACCATTCTGGTGTATTCAGCTCCAGCAAATGTTGGTGTTCTATGGGATCGGTTTTTCGCGGATCTTTCCCAAGACTTCGCACGCAAACATCAGGCTTTGATGGACCCCTTCAAGTCATCGTTGGTCGAATTTGAAACGCTGATGAGCATTCAAGAACTACTTCAAGCGAGTGGGTATGCGGTAGCTGACTTCGACGAGCTTCCTCAGTTGGGGTCGTTCCCAACATTGATTCGTGAAGCGCTTCGCCAAAACGGATTACTTCGACGTGAGCTCACTGGATACGATGCGTCAGTTTTGGAGACGATTGTAAACACAGAAGATCAGCTAAACGAAAGTCAGCGGGTGTTTACGACCAGATTATTGAAGCGGTTGAATGCCCGGAGGAAGGCAAGAAACTTTTTTTTGTTGATGGCCCGGGTGGTACTGGAAAATCTACACTGCTTCGAAACATACTGGCCAAAGTCAGACTCTCGGGGAAAATTGCCATCGCTGTGGCGTCTAGCGGTATTGCCTCGCTCTTGCTCATGGGTGGTAGGACAGCTCATTCTACATTCAAGATCCCTTTGAAATTGAACGAGAGCTCGACGTGCGGTATCAGGAAGAACTCCCACATTCGGGAGTTGATTAAGCATGCAAGTTTAATTATTTGGGACGAAGCACCTATGGCCCATCGCCACGCATTCGAGGCAGTAGACCGAACACTGCGGGATATAGTTGACAACGACACCGAGCCTTTTGGGGGGAAAGTGTTTGTACTTTCGGGAGATTTCCGCCAGATTCTCCCGGTCGTTAAGAATGGAACACCCGTCGAGACAATTGACGCTTGCCTCAAGTCGTCTAGGCTGTGGCCCCAATTCCAGACGTTCCGTCTTACGGAAAACATGCGAGTGCGCACAGCTGATACTGCAGACACTGCTGAGGAAATGGCTGCGTTCTCCGAGTTCCTGCTGCAAGTCGGGGAGGGAAGGCATGATGTAAACCCTTCCCTAGGAAACGATTACATGAAGATCCCGCGCGATATGCTGATTGAGAATCCACCTGTGCCTGAGGATGAGGACCAGGAAATTCGTCCGGGCGTTATTCCAAGAGGCATGGATCGGATCATCGACGAGATGTATGGCGAGATTAAAAACCCCGAGGTTGCTACCGACGAGTATTTCGCTAACCGAACGATCCTCACGACCACGAACGCAATCGTGCACCGCATCAATGAAGCGGTGACCGATCGATTAACTGGACAGGCGCGGGAATACATGTCTTCCGACTCTGTACAAGACGACGGTGACGGCAATTTTTTCGAGCAGGAGGTACTCCACTCGATGAATATCAGTGGAATGGCTCCCCACCAAATGAACCCTCAAGGTAGGAATGCCTATCATGATGATGTTGAACCTGAAATCAGATTCTAGGGCTGTGCAACGGAACACGGCTTCGAATTGTGGCCCTCAAGCCACATGTCATCCACGCCACAATTATGACCGGTGAGCGACAAGGGCAACATGTGTTGATTCCCCGCATTGTTTTCATCAGTGACGGAGACATTCGGAGCTTTCTGTTTCATTTGAGACGCAAGCAGTTTCCTGTCCAACCGGCCTTTGCGATGACGATTAACAAGGCGCAAGGACAAACGGTGCAGTACTTGGGGCTGTATCTTGCTACGCCTTGCTTCTCCCCACGGGCAGCTGTACGTTGCGATGTCGCGAGTTAGTTCAAGATCAAGATTCAAGGCGCTGGTCGAGTACCCAAAGCTGGAGGAGGAGGATGGGGTCTACGCCCAGAACATTGTCTACAGGCAGATCTTTGGTTCGGAGTAGGAATGTTCAATTTCATATGCATTTAGTACATAACGTTTACATAAAACATGTTTACGCCGGAGCGCAGCGAAGGCGTGGAGCCAAATTTCCCTCCTGGGACTAAAACCTGCCACC